GAATCTGTGGTTATTCAATCAAACCTTAAAATAGGCACTGCTGTAAAGGGACATTGCAGATATAATTAAGTTGACTAATCAGCTAATTTAAAATGAAGAGATTATCCTGTGTTGTGTCGATGGGCCAATGTAATCATGTACTACAATAGCAGAAGAGAAAATCTGCCAGTGAGACAGGTACAAAAGGGAAATCAGTGAGGTTAGAAATTTGAGAAGGACTTGACCTGTCCTTCCTTGATGGGAGTACACAGAAAGCATGAGGGCAATGCAGATAGCCTCTAGGAGCAAAAACTGGATGCTGGCCCACGGGCAGCAAGGAAATGAGCAACATGGTCCTACAGTGCCAAACAACCAAACTCAGCCAGCCACTTGAAAGCTATTGGAAGCAGAAGCCTCCAGGAGGTAATGCAACCCTTACGACACTTTGATTTCATCTTTGTGAACTCTAAGCAGAGAAGAGTCACACTATGCCAAGACCTCTCATCTGTAGAGCTATGAAATAATAGGTGAATGTTGTTTTAAGCCATTAAATTTGTGGTAATCTGCAATGAAAGCAATAGAAAAATAAGTCTCTAAAAGTCCATGATAGTTCACTTCCTAAACATCAATTGAGATGATAACAACCCAGTCACTACAGAGACATGTGCAATGTCTAATGTTCATGTAGAGAGCATCCCCGCTTTTATAAATTTTGACACAGGGTCTTAAGTTGTTAAATTGCCCAGGCAGGGCTCAAAATTTCAATCCTCTTTTCTCCGTGTCCCAGAATGCAGGGATTACCAATGTGCACCACTATACCTTGCTGGAGAGGGACTTTTAAGCAGCATATATAAATTCAGATCCAAAAGGGACTTTAGAGCCGGGGATTTAGCTCAATGGTGCTGCCGCCTGCCTGGAAAGCACAAGGTCCAGAGTTCAATCCCCGGTAGCAAAAAAACAAAACAAAAAAATAAACAAAAGGGACTTTAACAATGATCTAATTTAGTCCAATCAAATAATAATAATGACTAAGGGATACTGAAAAAATTAGATAGTAAATACTTTATAGCTTTATCTCCTCTTGTTACTTGAGATGAGGATACTTTAACCTGCAAACAAGAATGTCCCAATACAGAAAAAGGTGCAATAATCTCTTATTTGTGGCCAACTTGATGATTCTGTCCCCTGAAGTCATTCAGTTCCCTGTACTTCAACTCTAGAGCTGCCAAATGATCTTCTGACTCTTATCTTGTGTTCTAAGTATACTTTCTTTTTGGAAAACTAATACAATAATCAGTAATGCAACAGAAAGAAAACATTGGCATGCTAATATATTTGCTCATCTTTTGAGTCTGGCTAGTATAAAGCAGGCATGGGAACTTGATTTTGATAAAATGAGTTTTTGAACATGAAAATGGATATGAAATGATCCCAAAGAAAGTGTGAAAACCTGAATGATACTGCCATCATCAGTTTGTTGGCTTTTCATTTTGACCACAGTCATACCAAGAAATGAAAATTATAATTAAAAATCACAGGCAATGTGTTGATATGAAGATAAATCAAAACCAAAGTTGAAATCTATGACAGATTAGGGTAGAACAAATACAAGGACATGGAGCCTGTTATGGCCAGTTTATCTTTGTAGCATGTCCTTGTAAATATTGGCTCAGGAGAGGTTTTTTTTTTCAGTCCTTCTGAATTAAATGTTCAATTTCCATAGTTTCATGGTGATTCTCCTAGGGGTCCATCATGACGTAACTAAGGAAATTATTAATTCAATGACCTGAGTGTATTTCATCTAAATAGATTGGCTAGTGGAAGAGAATCGGAACCAACAAGCTGAGCCAAACTCTGAGGCCCTATTGATTTACAGAGACCATCCACCTACCAAGAAGTCAAAGAAACAAACAAATCAACCAACTTTTTTGTTACAATCTGAGTGGTCTGTTATTTCAGAAATAAATACATTCATCAGAAATAAATTCATTCAAACAGAAATAAAACATTCATCTTTCTCTCACCGAAAAGCGATTCAAATAAAATTTTTAAACATTTCAACCACTTGTGACCATGTTACCAGTGAGCTTTACTTTTCAAATGAGGAAGGAACACTGTACAGAATCTTCAGGGGGCAGTTTACACATAGAATCATCACCTAAATTCTATTTAGGATAGAAGGAGGTGCTTCAGATGCAGGGAAATAATATGTGCTGTATGAACATAAAAAACAACTGTCAGAAGAGAAATTGCCATTTCCTACCTGTCTCCAGTCTGTGTAAATTGGACAAGTAGATTCATCTCTTTTATTTCCAATATTGCTTAATGAGATCAAGGTTCACTCAGTTACCTGATCTAGATGCTGATTATTCCTTCTCCTTTATACTACAAGAGGTGCTTCCTTTCCAAGATTGTCTGTGGACCATAGTACCTCCTCCTCCAGTCTTAGCCCACTGCCTCCTCTTTTCTCCAGACTTTCAACAGCCCCCTCGTGGTGTATCTTTCTAAGACAAATGCTTCAAAATCACATTCAAACATCATCACTTTCCTAAGTCATCTCTTTCTGTCTCTCTCTTTCCCATTCTTCTCTCTCTCTCTCTCTCTCTCTGAGACTCAACTGTTTACGGCTCTATGCCTACACTGATTTTTGCAGCCTCTAGTATAACATATGTTACAAAATGAAAGCCTCCAGATGATGAACTGTTTGTGGAATAGATGAGTTTCTGCACTCTTGTCTGCATGTTTCAGAGGGCAAAATCTACACCCATGTTATCCTCCATCACTCCCTCTCTAGTTTCCCTACCAAGGTGCCTGGCAACATGTGATGAGTGAACAGATGTGTGCTACTTATGTATGTGTGGGGTCTGGTAGGTTTTGTTGAAAGGTAAAATGGAGGCTACAGGCTCTATATCATCTTCCCTCAAGAATATTCAGATCCTCGTATACCTGTAGTTTCTGAATCTATAGAAGACAGTTAAAGGAGAGCAGAGGATAGTTTGGGGGTTAGAGGATAGGTCTAGGACTGAACTACAGGCAGCCAGAATATAGTGTGAAGGTGCCAGGTATATGTGCTAGAGAATTTCAGAAAGGTAAGGAAGGTCACAGTTACGTACTAATTCTGCATAGCATCTGTCGGAAAGGCCACTCAAGCATTCAGGCCACATTCATTACTCCTTCATCTGGCAGCTGAATCTGCATCCAATTCAGCCTTCTCTCTCAGTGCCTACCCTCCACTCCCACAGAATCCCCGTCCAATCTTTGCTCTGCTTTTTGCAGGAGGGACTGCCCCCGCAAAGACCAAAGAGGGAAAAATAGTAACTGACAATAGGAGCACTGGGACTTTCTGTTTCTTTTTATTATTAGCACAGGATAGATCATGAATCACAATTTTTTTCCCTTTAAAAAATGTTTCCCATGTTCATTAGCTTAAAGTTCTTAACATAAAACTGGCACAAGAACAATGGATTGACTACTTTCCCTGTTAATCAGAATGCCTGCAAGTCTGAGGTTAGTGATGATTGGGCTCCAGGAGGGAAGGAAGAGGTAGGATTCTAGGGAGGAAGGGGAGTCAGAGGAGGAAGAATCATAATTACAGAATCCTGGAGAGGGCTGAGCCCTCAGTAACAATTTAGTCTAACAGTTTCACTCTCTATAGATGAGATGGAGGTAAACGCAGCCCAGAAAGGTGAAGAGTTACATCAGACTCCACAGCTGGTTATGGCCAAACATCCCTAGTCTGATAGGCTTTTAGATTATTCTAGGCTGTTTCCAAGCTGTCACTTTGACTATTTTCAAGAATCTCTTCAAGGAGCAACAAGATGTACTTACCCCACATATTATTGTTTATCATCAGGCATTTCGTACAAACTAATCAAAAAAATGGGCACAGGTGACTCAGATCTTCTGGCCTGCCCCAGCTGCTGGCCATTCACCCACCCTCCATGTGGGCTGAGTGCCCCTTGACACTTTCTTTCAAGAGTTTACTTACAAGAAGCCCCCACCCAGAACAAGCTAGGCCCAACTCTGAAAATAACCCTGTTAGAACTTTGCAAAAATCAATTCTCCATGGTGACACAATGGGGATTTTTGTAATCAGCAGATCTGCACCCACCTTTACAAATGAGAAATTCTCAGAAAGACACATCTATCTTTGTGTGATCTGGTTAGGCTTCTTTCTACCTTTCCCTTTCCATCTTCTACCATTTCTCCAAAACTCTCTTATCCTCTGTCCATAGAGATATTTAACCAGAAGGTGCTAGGTCTTTACAGGCCTCATTTCTCTGCCTCTTGTCCTCTTCCTCCTTTATCCATCTTTGATACTCATTTCCCCTAGCCTCAGCCCAAGATCACTTCAATTTAGAAGCGTCTTAACAATCCCTACTTCCCACCAGGTGAAGTCTGGTGCCTCTCTTCCCTACTTCCATTGTAGCCTAGGCAAACCTCTAATACAGCATAATAAAGCATCAAGAATTTTCTCTTTTCTTTTTTGAGGGTTATGAGGCAGAAATCCTGAACGAAGATACAATACAAACATGCAATTTTTTTTATAAAACTTTTGCAAATGTAAACTGACTGTTGAAGTGTAAAACAGGGAACAGAATTAAAAGTCTGAAGTGCTTCCTGAATGCAAGTTATAATCCATGTTAACTAAAACAAAAATGCACTAGCTACAGAAATGTACAGAAAACTACCCCATCCTTCAAAGCATACACTTTGGAAAGCCAAATTACACTTTGACGGTGATCGGAAAGGGAGGAAGGCATGCAAAGGCTTTTCCTAATAAGAAAATTTTATAAACTTGAGCAGTACAAAAAATCAGTATTGCTTACAGAAGTAAAGGGAAAACAAAGGTATTCAGCCATAAATGGAAAAAATGAAGTAGGAGAAAAGAAAATGCCAAATCCAAGGTAGTTACAACATTTATGTATAAAATACAAAAGCAAATGAGTATATTTGGGGGCAGACCCAGTGATCAGAATTTGTATCAAAGTTAACAAGAAATAAGGGAAGGTAATACTAACCAGTAATCCTGCAGATATTCTTGAAATAGAGGCTGGATTTTCATATGTTTTTTTCTGGGATTTATTTCAGAACTTTTCTAATTTACCCTTTTTCATTCAATCAGATATTGCAAGATTACAATGAACTGATCTATAAAATCTACCAGAGAGAGTAGGATTGAAGGTGGAATCCCATGAACTGCCGTTATCAGTACTTTTTGTTGTCTTAATCTCTAATTTATAGGTCTTGGTGCTTCAATATAACCTCTGTAAAAGCTCCTAAACCAATCATATTCATTCTCTATTCTCTCTCTCTCTCTCTCTCTCTCTCCCCCCCTTTTCTCTCTCTCCCCACTCTTGGTAAATTAAATCATATCAGACCATTGCCTCACATTACAAATCTCCTTGATCTTTGCCCAGCGTTTCTTTGGGTACTGCCAGCTAAAGTGAAGGCCAGGCCTGGGCTGACGTTTCCTGAGGTCTATGATAACTGAGGCAGCAAGGTCCACTGAGAAGAGGGATGAGCCTTAGAACTCAACAAAAGTATCTGGAAAGATTGAAGATAGTGATTGGGTTATCTGGACCTAATTCTGTTGCAAGAACAAAAGCAGAAGTGTCTCACAAGTGTATGTTCACTTCTGTCTCCATAAATTATCTCAAGAGTCCAGGGTATAGAAGGTTGAATATTTTTAAAATGAAGGATAAATGGGCTGAATTGCAAAAAGTCAGTGTTTGTTGGAAATCCCAGCACACTTAATTTTACTGCAAACATTTAACCATGTTTTGTATAAGTGGTGTTAAAGTAGTAGACCAGAAAACCTTTAGTATCTTCTATCTCATAATTGTTTAAGCCCTTGTACCAACTCACCAAGGTCCTACTTAACCATGGTTATTTTGGTCAATTGGGCAAGAGCTCACAGCACTTAGATAATGAGGTTTGGTTTCTTTTAAATTAGTTTTAAATTACTTAAGTGTGGACTGGGTTGCTGTACCTGCAGGAATATGTGACTGACATTCCTATGTGTTACTAACAGTCCTATCCACACTATCAACACAAAAAGATTTGTGACAACACACATGATTTGTGACTGCTGCTAGAATTAGCATGCCATTTTGCTGATTACAAGACTCCATCTGCCTGCCTAGCTTTCTTATGTTTGTTTGCAGTGGGTCATTTTGTGATATCAATACATACAAATCCTATTAAGATAAGAAACCCTCAAAGGGGAAAATTCATTTGAATGCTTTAGTTAATAATAACAAATTTGGAAATTTCACTGATTCTGAGTTGTGGTTAATTTGTTTTGAAATGTTATTTTGAATGTATAGAAACTGCCTGCCTGCGGGATACTCCCAAATCACATTTCCAGGAGTCCATAAATACCTGGTCTCTAGAATTTGCAGTACAAGTAAAAATCATAGGAGTTATCTGGAAATTTCCTTTACCTCTCTGCCTGTTCTTTCTTATTTTCATGTTATATCCCTCGTACCTTTTTAGTCCACTCCTTTTCCTTTCTCCCATCTACTGATACTGCCCAAGTCTGAGTCACCGTTCTCACTTCAGTTTGAGAAATGGCCTCCTAACGCCAGCTCAGACTCTCTTAACCCCATTGTTCACATACACACACAGATGGGAGACACAGTTGTTATTATGACATCCCTCTAAATAAAACACTTAAAGGACTTTACTTGTTCATTGGATTAATACCAGGATCCCTATCTAAAACCTACTAACTGTCCCTGATGTTCACTCTCCCCACTTTAGATTAGCAACAGCATCAGTAAGGTGATAGTTTACAGCCAGCAATGGATGTTGATGGACTGGGAATCTAGTCAACAGTTCTGTGACTCATTATTAAGTTAAATACTACCAGATAATGAGGATTTATACACAGGAAAAGGACCAAAAAGCTAGTGATTTTTGTGACCAGACAGCCTAGATCTCTAAGGCTTATTCTTACAAAAGAAAGATCTTTTACTCTTCTTTTTTTTTCAGAGTAAAATGAAATAGGAGCAGAAAAGAGTTGCACAGAGATATGTGTAAAGATGTAACCTGAAACTTTACCCTTGATATTCATAAAGAAAGAAAAAATACCCAAGTGCAAGATGTTCTGACATGCCTTTTTATGAACCTTAGGAGATACCTTTTACTTTCCAAGAGAGGAATGGCTTCTATTAGTGTTCTGAAACCAGAAGTATCTGGAAATTATGGACCTTATCAATAGTTCTTATTAAGAGAATTACTCTTAATAAAGGAATTAAAGTCCTTGTCAGAAATATTAGTTTGGTCTAATAAAGCATCAGGCTATGCTCTGTCCAACGTTACCTCAAACCACATTCCCAAAGCTCAAGCTAGTCATATTTCATCAAATGAAAAACAGTGGTTATACTAAAAGAATAAAAAAGTGAAGGACTGTAACAAAAGGAACCTGGGCTGTATCGTTTTTATATCCTCTCCCGACAACCCAATTGCATACTGAACAATGTAGTCTGAGATGAGGTTAGTAGGACAAACATGAGACTTTCTGCTTAAAATAGAATTTTAATCACATGCAATCATATTTATATCAAGAAGATGAGCTAAATCAACAATGGGAGTATATAATGCTTATTTGCAAAATGATCATTTTCCACAGAGCCAATTGTGATTTTTATTCTGATTATAAATGCACAATGCATGTTCTTACAGAAATTTGGTAAGTTTTGAAAAAGAATGCATAATTTGATATATATATATATATATATATTATATTACAATTTCTAAGGAAAATAGACTACATATAAAAAGTTGCTTCTTTTTTGGTTTTTGATTTTTGTCCTGTTTATATTAGAGTCTCTTACACACCTGACCAATATATTGCTAGTTTTTCTAGGAAATGGTGATTTTGGAAATTCTTTGTTGATTCAAGGGAAATCAACCTGGCTAAGAAATATTAGCTAATTAGTTTTAAATGAAGTTCTGATACCAAAGGCTGATTACTGTCAACAGAAAATTCTAGGAATACAATGCTTGGTAACCTAGGCAAATCCTACCAGCTTGGAGAAGTCACAGGGAGAGGAGAGGGAGCCTAAGAACATTGCAAAAGCATCCTTGACAGAGCTGTAATATCTATATCTATGTGTATATGTATGTGTGTGTGTGTGTGTGTGTGTATTGCCTATCTTGTTCTGTTCTTGAATCTCCTTATTTCCAGCACCCAAACTGATCTCAGTAAAACAAGGCATGCAATTTCTTTTTTCAGCATCCTCACACTTTCTTTACATGACAATGTGCTTAGTGTGGTCTGAAAGTCTTACCTGATGTTCCCACTCACTATTTCTGCCTGTACCTATACCACCATACTCTTTATGTTCTTTCTGCATCAACAAAACTAGTGTCTTTGATTATCCTTGAAGAATGCTGCTTCCTCTGCCTGGGATACTTTTCTCAAAGACTTTATTTATTCAGGTCAAGATAGATAAATCACAAGCTTTAAACAATTTTATTTTTTCTCAAAGGCTTTAATCTTTATTTATTATATGATACATTTACTTGCTTACATTTTTACTCTCTATTCTCTCAAATGTTAAATATGTGAATTCAAAGAGCTTATCTATTTTGTTCAGTGCTATATTCTTTAGCAACTACAAACTACAGAAGGCCAATAGGAGGTATATAATAAAGATTTATTAGGTGCATAAACACATAGTGTTAGGAAAAAGGCAAAATGTCTTGGCTAATTCAATTAATATTGTTTCTAAGAACAACATCCATCACATTTACTACTGATCAAAATAATGTAAATAAATTCAAGGCAATAAAAAACAAAGAAAATGGTAGAGATTGTCTTAAAGGACAATTAAGATATGCTAAATTTCTACTTTGTGTGAGAGAAGAATAAAACATGTTAAGGGAGAATACTGGTGTTGCCTGATGGGGAGTGAGCAATCTGACAGGGGTACATGCAGTCATGGTTAGAGGGTGATCCCTGACAGGGTAGTTACAGCCTTCTGCTGCCTTCAGAGACAACTGGGAGGGACATGTATAACAGGGAGGACTAGGAAGACCATGCCCCACCACAGAACCTCAAAAGGAAGCGAGAGGAGCTCAGTTGGATCATACGGCTTGCAAAAGTGACAGGTAGTTTAGAAATGGGAAAAGGAGAAGTTTAAGGCTTGCATTCTATGAATATGTGGAAAATGGAGAACACTTTTTCCTAGATAATTAGAAATTCTCATGAAGATGATTTGAATTGGGATTTTAAAAAAATTTTATGAGGTATTAAAGCAGTAGGCATTCAGTAGGGTACATTATATGTTGCATTTTGATCTTTTCCCAGGCTAACAATGAGGGCAGGGGCAGCAGTCCTCAGCTCCCTCTCTCAGCCACATGATCACCAGTGTACTGTGGAGTAGGTCAAGCTTATTAAGTACATGTTGACTTAACATTTTGCATAAATTGAGGAACATTTATTATATTTTAAATACAGGCAAAGGAGAACTTTTGCATTTTTAGCTTCTCAAAGAAACATATTTGGAAAATAATTTCTTTTAACCAATACCAATGAAAAGCAAGTCTGCCAATATGTGCTTTAGTCCAGAGAGAGAGAGAGAGAGAGAGAGAGAGAGAGAGGGAGGAAATATAGTAATATATCTGAAACACAGTAATTATTCTATTCAAGTAAAGTTTAGATCAGGAATATAAGGACACTTTAATGTCAGATTTATTGATATAATATGATTGATATAATCTATTTCAAAGAGGCAGCAAAATGATTATTTTAATACAACATAAAGCAGTTTATAAATTAATACTTATAATCAGCCAGATGTGGTGGTGCACATCTATAATTCCAGCACTCAGGAGGTTGAGGATAGAAGATAGCTGAGAGTTTGAGGCCACAGTTGGCTACATAGCAAGTTTCTGTCTATCTAGGAGTACATACTGAGATTCTGTCTCAAAAACTAATTAATTAATACTTAAAATCAACTCTTAGTAAACTAGAAATAAAATGGTTTTCTTAACTTGACAAAAGCTTATTATCCCCAAACTTAAACCTAACACCATACTTAAAGTGAAATTTTTGAACCATTCTCACAATTATGCTATGCAAGATCAAAATGCTTAGCATAAACACGTAGAATTTACATGGTACAGTACTTGGTTGGGAGGCAAACTGAGATCGTGGTGGGGGTACACCTAGCAAAGTCCAAAGCACATATTGGATCTTAGTATACAACAGGGAGGGATT